TGGTCTCCCTGTTAAACTTGAGCTTATACCACTGAAACTAGTCTATCCACATCCTGAGGAATATTTCCAAAGTAAAACTCCAAATTGTCAGTGGTACATACGCCTTATTCTCATGATACATAATGTTTGACTTTTGGAGACATGGAGGCCCCTGTGCTACTGTTAGAATACACTTAGTTGTCTACCACAAACCACTGTCTTACTCCCTTTTCATGCCAGCTGCTCAGAGTCAGACCACCTTCCTGGAGTCCCTGGTACTCTGTTCCTCTCTTCCAGCTTTCTGGTACCTTACTAAGCCCTGGTACTTCCATGGCTTTCCCTCAAGTTTGAATGCTCCTGTGTCTTAAATATCTACTCAGTCTATAAATATGACACATTTGTAACACTTGAAAGATGTGTGGATCTATTGATGCACAAATCTCCAAGGCCATTTGAGCACTACAAGGAGTTTAGGTGTCTTTTACTAACATGCCAATACTCTGAAGTACGATACCCATAAGGGCTGCCAAAAGCATGCTCTGAGTGAGAACCACAATATGTATGCATTATAGTAAGGAAATTCCTCTCTCTTGGTAGTCAGAAGAGCTTTGAAATTCTTTCTATTTTTCCTGTACATTTTTAAATTTGTCACACAATATAAAATATTTTATCAGGCATTTTCATATATATTTTGTGTTTGCTGATTTTTCCCTGATTCCTTTCCCCTATCCTCTTCCCCTCCCTTGTCTCTTTCCTCACCTAGACATCCTCACCTCACTTCCATGCTTCTGTACTCTATTACTACTCTTATCCCTCACTACAGTTCCTTAACATGTCTTTTCCCCTCTCATGGCTTCCTTTTAACTTTCATAACCTATGTCACAAATACATGCATATACACACACATGTAAAAAATCAAAATGTAGTAATAACATATGAAAGATAGCATTTAGTATGTATCTTTCAAAGTCCGGCTTATTTTGCTTTATATAACATGGAAACAGCTATCAAATGCACCAAAAAGTGGCATCTTTAACTCTGGTGGTGTTCTTGAGTGAGCACCTCTTCCATTCTTGACAGGGAGTGCTAAACTTTTCTCTGTGTACAACATAGGCTTACGATTCTTTTGATGTTATTGGTACCATGACAATACTGAGAGGATTGCCCATGGAGCAAATATATAGAAAATTATAACCATTTCTTGCTCAGATTATGATCAAAGGTCAGGCTAAAGAAGCATTCACATTAATTCATCTGAAAAATCAAATATCAATGAGAAGTCAATGATCATGAAGTCAGAAATTAAGCTGATAAAATGATAAAAATCAGGTTTGTGAAAACTTAAACACCAGCAAGACAGGTAAAGTTAAAGAGTACGAACAAATTATCAGGAAAAAAAATGAGGGAGTGACACTGTAAAACCCACTGCCTTGAACAGAATACAACTAAATACAGCATTCAAAAGGGCTTTGAGCATTTTTTGTATCTGATTATACACTTCATGGTGTGACTCTGAGTATGTTGGGCTGATCTCTGTGATGACATTTTTACTGCCTCTATAGTCCCTGATTTTCCTTGGAGAGTGGTCGCATGTAAAACGAAGTGCACAACCTTTTGGGGTTCTTCCCTTTTGTGGTGGTGGGGATCTTATACCCATTCCAAGACTGGATATACTCTTTTAATCACACTGTGCCTATTTGCCCTGGTTTCCTCATGGTCTTCTCAGCACCGTTTTCATCTTTAGAATGATGGGAAACAAGTAAGCATTTCCCTTCAGGGAGGAAAATAGGGTTTTCTATAGTTTCAGTTACTCAGATATGAAAACTTTCCTTTGAGGCCAAGCCTGGTGTAGAACAGAGTATTTTGGACAATGTGTCAGACGACCACTCCTCCTTATCCTTCTGCAGGAAATAGCTGGGATCTTTGCATGATCGTCCCTATTAGAAGAAAAGGCTAATCTCATGGCAAATCTCAGGGAAGTGTTCCTCCCAAGATTTTGCCTACTGCAGTTGTTATGTCTTATATCTCACCTTATTGACCTCCAAATATTGATCTTTGCCATCACAGGGTTCCCTGTATATTATCCCTGGACCCTATAGATCCCAGGATCTAGTCTACATTGTAGAGTAATATGCTCCTGGGGTTCCATTGTCTTCACCTATCTTTCCCTCCCACTTGTCTACAGGAGTCTGTGATACATACTTATTCCTTCCTCTGAGCCGAGACAGAAATGCTGCTTTTCAGTTTATTTCATCTCACTTTTGCTTGTGTCAACGACAGAGACTTCCTAGCTCCTTCCATGTTCAAACTACACAGCAGGAAATGTATTTGGGAATTACAACTGAACAAGGTTCTTTTATGAAGAATACATAGGGCTGGTAGTCTAAAGAATTACAATGTGTGTCAAGATACAAAATCACACCAGGTTTCATTTCAATACCTAATAGAATTAAACCTGTTATTATAAAACATTCAGAAGATCTATGCTGAAAAATGTTTGGAATGACCTTTAGAAGGATGCCAGCTGATGAAAAAATTTGTTTAGAGAATTGTAACATATTTATATTCTTGAATTTTTGTTGCAACAATACATATAATCCAAATATTATGAAATATGTACAACACTAATTCATATCTGAGAGATTTTATATATACATATATATGTATATATATGTGTGTGTTTTATATATATAATCACAAAAAATATTACCTGTGTCACTTCCTGCTCAGATAGTAGGAGAATGGTGGTTGCAATGGACAAACTAGAAATTGTATAACTATTATCCCTGCAAACCAAAAAGTAACTACTATGGATTGTAACATGCTTGCATTTTTTGTCTTTTGGTTAGGCTTCTAAGACCAGATTTGCCCTGAAACTCATGTCTTATTCTATGTTCAATCTGACCATTCTTTGCCTGAACATTCCATCAGGTGTACTAGTCAGCATTGAAGACAGTCACAGGGAAGGTGGGATACTCTTTCTCACCTCCAGAGGAGGTAGCAGGAGGATCTGATAAAAGACAGGTGCATAGAGAACCCTGCTTGCTTCAGAGCACTGTCACATATTAGGCAGGGATTAGGAAAATTCCCAAGGCTGTGGGCCATGGTGCTCTTCGACTAGGAAGTGATACAACCTGTCTGTTAGGGCCGCTGGAATATGTGTTCTGAATTTGAAGGCACCAGTACAGTTCCTTAGTTTGGGGAAACATAGTGAAAAGTAGATGATTTCTTTTTATTATAATTTTATTCTAGCCTGTTCCACCCTAGGATCATGATGTTGTTCCCATTTTGCAGGATATATCAGAGAACATGTAGCCCAATGGGACACAGTAGATAGCCAGCCAGCCACAACAAAATTTTAGTAATAAAACTTACTAAATCTTCCATCCTTTTGGACACACATCAAAATCTGGGTGCACCTACATGGATGTTCCTAGAGTGTGAGTCAAGACCAGTTTCTCACTTCCATCCCTCCCAGAGGCTTTTCCAGGCAAACCACTACCTTCAATAGTTTACCAATTGCACTGCAGATAACTGAAGTAAAACGTTATCTTAGCGTTGAAGAGATGGATCAGAGGGTAAGAGTGCTAAATGCTCCAGTCTGACAATTTGAGTGATATCCCTCAAGACCACAAAATGAGTGAGTGCGACTGAAATCCTACCACTCCTTTATTGAGGTGGGAGATAGGGGAAAAAGTGGCCAGAATCTCTTAAAACTGCTAACCTGGTGTAAAAAGTACACCAGCCGTAACAATAGAGGCCCTGCTTCAACATGGTAGAAGGCAAGAAACATTGTGAAAGCTGTCCTCTGCTGCCTGTACAGTGGTATGCGTGCATCGTCCTCACACTGATACAATTCTTTTTTCAATTTAACTTCACATGGGGCTGGAGACCTCAGGAAACTCAGAGCAGTTGCTTCTCTTTCAGTGAATCTCAGATTTGTTTTCTGTACTCACAGGCTGACATTCTCATTCTAGTTCCAAAGGATCTGGCACCTAATTCTGGCCTCCCTGGGTACCAGGGACATATATACCTCACTTACTTATATGCAAACACTGAAATGCATAAGAAATATTTAAAGCAATCTTAACAGTTAGCCCTGTCTCCCCTGACCAAGGAGACAAAAGAGACCCTGTCTAGAAGTTCCAGGCCTCACTGTCACATGATTCCCAAATGTATGTTAGGAACCTCCTGTAAAGCATAGTAAACCACAGTGTGCATGAGATGTATTCAGTTCTAGCTCGTATTCCTGTCCCAGGACAGAACCCTTCTCTTAATATTTTAGTTTTGTGTGCTGATTACGTGTGACATGAAAGTGTTTAAGCACTGAGTAACAAGCCCAGGCTTATTCCTCTATACTGAAGTTCACTGACAACAGGACCTGCTCAGAGCTGTTTTCCCTTCTCTTAGCCTTAAATCAGTCTCACCACGTGAGGGCCTGGCCTTGGCTACTTTGCAGTTTAAATTATATTTAATTCTCTCAGCCTGCCAAGCTGCCTTGATTTAAGACTCACTGGACTTTTCACCCCAGAAGAGCCCTTTGCAGTGCTTTTATACCGGGGCTTATGGTCTAAAAGGACTTCTGTCTTCCCCCACAGGGCTGTGGCTCCTGCTCTCACCCCACCTACGAGAAAGATTGGATCTGGCTTCTTCTAAGTACCAATTATCCACGGGTAGAGAGGGATCTGGCTTCTCCTACATCTCACTGTTATCATAGAACTTTTCAAAGACTGGGTCCTCAGTAAAGGTTTTAGGAAGAGATTCCATTTATCTTACTTTAGTTTTTATCACAAGTAGTTAACAAGAATGAGGGACCAAACATAGTAACACAATAAAAAATTAATCTTATGTTCTTTATTTTGATGCCAACTTCTTTTCTATTTCCCAAGAAATTCCAACTTTCACACCATCACATCTTATAACATATTATAAATTCAAAAACATTGTTTTCAAGATAACAAAATTATCCTAACCTGAATCATCAATAGATGCTTTACTAATGTCATTTTTATCCTTAAAAATCTCAAGCAAATTAACTTTGTAATGAAAGTAGCAAAATCTTAAAAATAATGAGCCTCCTCAAGTCACTCAAACAGAATACTAAGAAAGGAAAGTTTCACTCTTTTTCCCAGCATTTGACTACTTACTTTACTCCTCTGCCTGACCTAACAGGGATTGGAAACTGCTAGTTCAGTAGAACTTGTGCTGGTCAGAACAGTAGTGCCTTTTATCTGCTGGGCTTCTCTGCCCTAGACTCGCTCTTGCTGCTCCCTCAAAGCCTCTGCATACTTCTCAGGGTAGGATCTAGGATCCTGCTTAACAATGCTGGCATAAAATTCCAAGACTTTCATCTTGGTGGTTTCTGCATAGGCCCTTGGGCCCCACAGGAACTCATAGCGAGGGGGACAGCTGTTGGGTACCTGCCTGTACTCCACATACCCTTCCTGGACAAAATCCTCAGTGATGAGACTCCTGGGCTCCCCAAATATGAAATGATCCATCCCAGCATACAGCCCTAGGCTATTCAACACATTCCAGAACACCTCCTCACTGACACAATTGTCTTCTATGAAGATGATGCATAGTACAATTATAAGCAGGCCTGTCTTGGGTACACCTACAACCCCGTGCATCATCCCATCATAGGTGATTCCCAGGGTAGGATAAAGGAAATAGGAGTGGACAAACGGGTCCACTTCCATCATGTCAATACCAAAGATCAACCTCATACACTCAGAAGCCTTACTAAAGATCACAGCATAGTATTCCTCATAATCTCTCATGGCCCTATTCATCATTTCTGACTTGGTGGCTAGCTCCATCCTTCGAAACTTGATGAGTAGGAATCTCACCAAATCAACTATCTTTCCATTTAGTATACCCTGCGAGGGATACTCAGGCTCAGCCACCCCTCCTGCTTGGTTGCCAGAGGCCTCACCAGAAGCCCCTCCCATGGCAGTGGGAGGAGAGGAGGCTCTCTCAGCACTCTGGGGAGAACTGAGTGTTCCTCCGGCAGACACATTCCCTGAGGTGCTTGCAGTAGCAGCCACCTGGCTCCCGGCAGCTATGGGGGCCTGGTCACCCTCCAGGCCCCTTTCCTCCCTCTGGGCCTGAGGGCTGGCTGGAAGGTTGAAGAAGCTCTGGCTGTTCTCAGTAGGATTCATCTTGAGCTTCCTTGGTAACAGCAAGCAGAATACTGTCCAGATCACAGGGCTGAAGCCTCACAAGCCTGAGAAATAAAGGAAAAATGTGAGTGGACTCTAACTCTGTCCCTGTGGCAGCTCTCAAAAAAGCTTGTTACAGGGGTTTGCTTGGGTGGTACTCTAAGGCCAAAGGAATATGGTATTGTATGTACTCCTAAAAGGCTGAAAGAGAAAAAACACAGCTTCTCCAGGTGGTGACTTATCTTGCCTGAGGGAAACACCCAGAAATTTGGTATCTCTGAGATACAACCAAGGAAGCAAAGGAACCTCACACCTCCTTATACCAGGTCCGGAGACAGTGAAAAAAGTAGACCAAATCAATACAGACTGACTTTCCTAGTACATGAGACCAGCCTAATCCTCATTTTAATAAATGTGTAAAGGCAGAGGCTGTTCCATGTGGCCCCCATGTCTGCACTCCTTAAGGCAAGACACAGAGGGAACAAGAGGTGAAGGAAGGGAATCCACTAAAAGTGCCTAAGTTTTCTCACTGCTGACAGGAGGGCAGGGAGGTACTGAGTCTCTTGGGCTGATGGTACTCCCTTAGGTCTCACCTTCAAACTGATGCACCTGGTCTTCCCTGTGACGTGAGTCAAGCTGGTAACAGATCCTTCAGCTCCTTTAGACTAATACCTGCAAATAAGACAGGGAGTTCAGACTGACGATCTGGCAGAGGATTGTTACAGAGAAAGGTTCAGAGAAGACCTATGTCTGTGCTATGAGCTGGAATTTCCTCCAATCATACTCTGGAGTTCTTACTAGAACTTGCCAGATCCTGGGATTTATGTGCTTAACCAAGGTCTCCTCTTCTGGTCACATTCCTCACAGCCCTGAGATCCTTAAAGCTCTAGAGAGCAGGATTCAGTATGGACCTCCTTTGAGGACTATGTCTAAAGTGCAGAGAAAATGTACTGTACAGACTATGTGTGCCCTGGGGTCATGGCTCAGGAACATGGCTGAGTGGATTGCTTACTTAATACTGTCTCAGGCAGAAGTTGAGAGTCTGCGGGTTGATAAGGTCTGAGGGAAAGGAAAAATCTGAAGGATAGGTGATTTGAATCTCAGGTGCACTTAGGGAACCCATATCTTAGCAGAGATGAGCCCAATACATGTAGTCATCACCGGAGATCCCACATCAGAGTGGATGAGATGTGTCACCAGCTCACGCCTCTGTATGTAGCTACCTCATATGAACTGACATTATTCCTAGGAGCAAGTAAATCTTCTCCCAGAGAATGATCACCAATAGGCATACAACTGAAATAAACTTTGAACCCTAGCCACTTATCCAGGGATGTCCAGGCATAAGAACTGAGCAAAACAGACTTTGTTAGCACATGTTAAGCCTTCACCATATTTCTCACCTGGATTGCTGGCAGACACTGGACACCTCCCTCTGGTAAACTAATGTCGTTCCAGATGGCTTTGATGATACAACACACTGCACAGACTCACCTTCCTGAGGAGGAAAAAGAAATGAAGACAAAGCCTATCTTGAGAGCCCTGGGGGATTTACAAATACACGTAGATTCTCTTTTAAACCTTTGGCCATCACTCAGAAACAGGATACATTAACTGGGAAACCTCAATCTAGTAAGTGCCTCTGCAGTGCAGTTTCTCCTGGCACCTGGATTGATAATTTGGCCATCTCCCCACCAGGAACCTCATGTGCACATGTGTGGGTTAGAGCAGGGACATGATGAGGATTGAGGGCTCATTTCTACAAGTCATCACTAAATAAGGCATTCTATCAGCATCAGAAACCTGGGCACATGGCTCTAAGTCTCCCCAAATCCCAGGAGGCAGTTACTGAAAATAGGAGAGCGGATCATTCCCACAAATCAGCCTTGGTCTATAACAGTATGGTGAAAAGTATACAATGCAACATTTTAATCTTAGTCTATCTATCCATGGACCCGTTTTTCAAACTACTCCCAGAACCCCTATTGACTGACAGATGCCTGGACCCTGCCTTTTTGTGTAGGGTCCTGTGGACTCATTGAAGTATGTGAGGAAGCAACTAGCTCCCTGAGAACACTCCAGTTGAATTCCCCCCGGAACAGTGGTTCTCGACCTTCCTAATGCTATAACCCATACAGTTCCTCATGTTGTGGTGACCCTTCCAACCATAAAATTACTTTTGTTGTTACATTGCAACTGTAATTTTGCTACTGTTATGAAATGTAATGTAAATATCTCTGCGTTTACATGGTCTTTAGTAATGCCCGAGAAAGGGCTTTTGATTACCAAAGGGGTTGCAAGACCACAGGTTGAGAATTGCTGATCTAGATCACCCCGCCCCCCCCACACACACACCAAGGAAAGCAAAAGTGAAGTTGCCACCCAACTAAAGATACCTCTAATTTTCTCTCCTCTATATTTATCTTTAGTGAGCACATGGCAAAGGACTTATTGCCAAAAGTGGATCCCCATTTAGTTCAGTGCTCATCACAAAGGTACAGTTTTAATATTGTGGGGCATTCTAACTGAATCGTTTTTTTTCTAAGTCCACAGGCCAGTCAGACTTTAATCCTGGACAAGAGCTGACTTCTTCCTCAAAGTCCAGAAAATGTTCCCGTTCAGTCCCTAAGATGGGCTGAACAAGTGGGTTGTGCCTACAAGAAGGCCCCATTCAGTATCATATTAACCAAAGGGGGTCAGACTACATTATTTGGGGTCATTTAATCCTGAAAGTGGATTTTGAACCCACCCTCAGTTCTCACCTGAGCTCCACAGGAACGGTGAGACCTTCTCCCTTCCAGGAACCTCGCAAAATGGCTCTGAGCCTCGTTAAGTACCCGGAAGCAGATTCTGCTGACTGGAGTTCCGCCTTCCAGAAACCTCACAAAATGGCTCTGAGCCTCCCTGGTCCCCGGATGCAGAAAGCGCTGAGTGCAATTCCACCTACAAGGACCCTCACAAAATGGCTTTAAGCCTCCGAAGTCCACGGATTTTGAAAGCGCTGAGGGCTTGCCCCTTACAGAATGTTCACAAAACGCCCCCGAGTCCCTTAAGTCCCTGGATATAAAAAGTACTTACCTCTTCCAGAGCCCTCCCCAAAGGGCTCTGAGTCCCCCAAGTTCCTGGATGCCAAAATTTGGTGTGCTGGCACTGAATTGCCTAAGTTCCTAGATGCAGACTGCGCTGAGTGGACTTCACCCTTTCAGGAGCTTCGCAAAATGGCTCTGAGTCCCTAAACTACCGGGATGTGCATGTGAAGTAGTAGGGAGGGTATCCGTTCCACAAATCAGCACCGAGGAATCTTTTAGCCTCCAGGAACTTCACAAAAGGGCTGTGAGTCATGCAAGTCCCAGTATACAGATGAGGAAGTTTGGGTACCCACACACTGCTACAGCTTGTCCTCGATTTTATATAAGACCCCTAAAATGATACAATGTAGCTTGGTTATCCAGACTTCTCTATCTAGAACAGGTTTCTGATATCCACAGCTAGCTTCTATCTGGACTCAGAAAATCACATTGTCCCCTTCTCTCTGGGAAACTGAAATGGCTCCTATGAGCACGTTCTCCCCACCCCCTGAGGGAGAGGAATGGGATCCTTACAACAAGTCAGTCCAGTTTAAAGAAGTGCATGTCACCCTGGAATAATGATATTATCTGTTGTCTCTGTCCAGAGTGGGGCTTCCACATTCCACTGCCAGGTCCTCCTTTTGCTCTGCAAGTTAGGCACCTCTCTTACCCTCCAGGGATGATATTAAACAGTGCTTCTACAGAGTCTCTAGTAATGAAAGCAGAAGGGTCCCATTTTCCTGTTTGCTCCACTGAAATCTAGGCTGACCCTGGGCAGGACACTGAAATATGTGGGGAACTCCTGTTCTTAAAGAGCCATTTTAGTGCACCTTACACTCTGATTTACATTCTGAAAATACCATACAGAATGGCTGTCTCTTTTCAAGGAACCTAAGAAATGATTGTTCATCTTCCAGCGCCCTTACATGTGAATGTGGAATAGTGGGGAGGGGACTAATTCCTGAAGTTAGCACTGAGGCATCCCTCAAAAGCAAGGTAGTTCAAAAGCGATTTCCCAAGTTCTCTGATGAGTCTGCACAAGCAAACACCAAGTGAGTGTTTCTTCTCATCAGTCAGTCCCTTTGCTGGAGGACAGTCTATCTGGGATGGGGCTTCTACAACCCACCTCAGCTTTCATCTTCACTGTGTAAAGACCCAGGCCCTCTCCACTCTAGGAATCTTGGAAGCTGTCAACTATTCATAGAATCCTGGAATGGAAAAAGGAGATTGGGGTTTATGCAAACGATGGGTCATATCCTGATACCAGACTTACCACAGGGAGTCAGTGACATTAATTTTTGTCCCTGCATGTGGAACAGAAGCTTGACAGTCCACCCTAAACCTTCACTTTAACTTCAGGTGGCATAGGCACTCTCCCTGTCCAGTCAAGGAAGCTCAAAATCAGGTTCCCTGCAGATAGAAAGGCTAAGTGGACTATTCCTCGAAGGGAGTTCCAGGTTGGTGGCTGGCTTACCAAACATGCAGTAGAGCTTTTTCTGGACAGGGGCTTCCTTGGGCCACCCTCTAGCTCTTACCTTTGTTCTGAATAGGATCAGGTCCTCAGCACACTATGGACCTTAGAGTTTGGCTCCTACTCCTACAGTCCACACATGAAATGTAGGGGAAGAGCAGATATGTTCCTCTGAAGCCATTTTGCAAAGTGTAGTAAACTTGGCTATAGCCAGATTATTTTGTGTCACTCTGTGAGCTGGTGCTCTCCAGTCCACTCTCAGCTCTCCTTGACTTTTGCAAGTTCCCAGGCTCTTTCTGTTCCATATACCTGAAATTCTGACCTTTAATTAATATCTTCACCTCCCTCAATTCCATGAACCTATGAAGCCCCACTCAGTGTCCACATTGTCTGAAAGCATGCCTAAGTCTACCCTGACTTAACAGAAGTTTGGAATAAAAAATTTCCCACTTCCTCCCATTAACATATTCCATTCTGTGGCGAACACTATTCTAATCCCAGTGGACTTTGAA